AGTTCAAGATACGACAGGTAATAAATTTTTTGGACTATGGTCTTAAGGGGCTGTGCTTAGGCTAGTGCCTACCTTACGCTACGTCCCTGAAGGTAAGCTTAGCCTGGGCTTAAGCTTAAGTTTGGGCTTTGGCATTGACGAGGATGACTGAATGAAGCTAAAGACCAAGTAGCTTAAGCCGAGCGCCTCGGAATCTCTTACCGCCATTTCCGGACTGCCCCAAGTGATTATCACCGACGATGTTTTTCAGATTCCGACCCTGCCTGAACTGGAAAAAACGTTGGCATTGAGGACTACGGAGATTCGACACGTAAAGCAGTACCAAGCCAAGGTATCGCAGTGTTCGATGTTAAGTCAAGAATTTTTTAGAAGAATATTTTTTCGCAGATTATAATGCCTTTTCAATTATATTTGTCTTGTTTTCAGCTTTATGCGCAGCTGGGCGAAGCGACCGCACAGAATCGTGTGCTGAAGGATGAGTTGGAAGAATTGAGACTGGTCGAACGGAACACTGTCACCATTGATTGACAAATTTATGCTCTGTGTTATTTTTGCCTTCTTTCAGCATACACCAAAGTGTTTTTTGATGTTTTGGATTCCGGAATAAATCTTTTGCATAAAATGGCGGTGGAACTTGCTTGGCACACCTAAAAAAACGGGGGATACGTTACAGTTCTAATATTTTTTGAATTACGGCGGTATTTCGGTAATTTCCATCGTGAAACTGTCAAAAGTATACTAAGAGAAAAACGTCCCTAAAAATGGCGCAAAAACGAAGGTGAGCCTGCGCGCACGGGGGAAAGCCAATTTTACGTATTTTCGATATTTTAAAAATACCGCTCGATAGAGGGCAAAAATGTAAAAAACAAAACGTTTCTTTAAAATCAATACAAAAGCTTAATATACAAAAACTTTGATTGAACCCAGGGTGTAAGAATCGATTTCGGCATTGTTGAGATTTTCGATGTTTTTTCGACACGCCCTGTTATTCTATGTGCACCGTTATAACTATCGGATTTCGATTCATATGAATTCGAATTTGTTTGGGAGAAAGAAAAGGAGCCTTTGGCCGCGACAATGAATCCATCAGAAATTTGCATGAATTTGGGGCAAAAAAAACGTTTATTGCCCGTTTTGGTCGCCGAATTTTGGCAGGGCTTGCCTGCCAATCTTCAAATGGGCACAAATAACGCAGAATTCCCGCCATATGCCAATGATGCAGACAATGTGAAGCTGGTGCCGCTTAAGATCGCGGTAGGCGCTTCCGGATGCGATATCGCGAAAATCTTGATTTGACTAGTTCCTTGCACTTGCCACTTACAATGGCCAATGAAAGCAAGCATTTCTAGGTGGCAGAGAACAAGTGGCATGAGAAGCTGGCCGTCGAGAATCCTGGACCGCTTCCCGTCTTGTACAAGGTGATGCCCATGGTCCTTGATGAACTTCTTCTGAGTTCAGCTGAAGGCGACGAACAACAAGCGTTGCCTGATCCACGATTGCGCCGGACTCATCAAGCCGAAGGATACTGTTGAGGTTGTTATTCAAAATTCGACGTCTTAGCTTGACCAAGAAGTTTGTAATCTTGAGAGATACCTATTGGGTTGAATAGAGTCACGATACGTGTTTTCAGATTATGCTGGAGAGTACGGATGAACAGTTGAAAACGGGAGATGGCCTGCTGCTCGTCTACACCCAGTACACAGCCGTCACTGGTAACCAGCCAGTCAACGCTTTTGTGGTAAGCTTTTTAAAGCCACTTTTTCACGTATTGAAAATAATAGATATATGAAAAACAACCGCGTTTTTTGCAGGCCTGGCAGCGTGCCAAGAAGCTCGACATCGTCACGAAGACCAAGTCAATCGCTCTTGTCAAGGCCGACAAATGAATTTTTCTCGATGAATAAAAAGCATGAATGTGTTGCCAGTTGACAGAGAATAAACTTGGCACTGAACCACAAGTTATTTATTGACCAGAAAAAATAGAAAGCGCGTGAATGAACTAGAAATTGAGTCACCTGCGGAGAATTTTAGTCAAAATTTTCCGGTATGCCTTTTTATTATTATGTACCCTGAAATCCCCAATATAGTTCCGGTATACTTTGGCGACGTACCACTACAAATGGCACTCTAATAACGTGCGTCCGCGCCCTCTAGCCGCAAAAGCCATGTGAGACAAAAGAAGCGGTTCTCAGGTCTTTCTGGGTCAATTACCTTCATTAAACCATTCCAAAATACTGGAAATATATACTATATTCGAAATGTTAATAAATATTCAATCAAAATTGCAAAATTACCTGTCTTGAACATAGTTTTCGTAAGTAACCGAAAAACGAAACACACCTATTTACGGTCATACGGAATTACGGACGCTCCGGATTTTCACCGGAACGATAATCGGGATTTTCGGGTAATTCGTTTTTGTCCTTGTCCCCATATCAAAATGTCGTTCTTTATCGTTGTTCCAGACGTCAGTTCTTAAAGGGCTGCCGACGGCATGTGTCGATCCCCCCTCATCAACAAATTGGCAAGTAGCCAACAGGGCAGAGAGCGCGTCCTGGGAGAGGCGCAGGGCCATTTCTTCCAGCGCGGCACCGATTATGTACACAGTCGGCGCTCCCACCTGGGAGCTAGTTCAACTTTTGGAGCTGGGCTGGTACCTTCCGAAACTATGGACTTGTAGGCGCAGTGCGCCCGAACAATCCCCGTACGCGCTAATAGAGATCCAGAAATAGAGAGGCGCAGACACAAAAACGCGAGAGGGGGTTCGACTCCTGGCCCGGAAATTTACTTTTTGTTTTGACTGACTGGACTAGCC